TAGTATTTTGTTAGTTATAGGTAACTCAATTTTTTGTGATTTGTAGGTATGTTTGTTGGGCTATTGCATTTTCCATGGAGATATTTTTAGAGTTATCAACGGATATGATAACTGCGGTCATGTTTGTGGAACAAATAAATTTGTTTTCACAAAAAACAGTGAAGAGAAACGTTGCAATAGCAATGAGAAAAATGATGGGAAGTAGGTATTTTTGTAATCATCCTGTAGTTTCACTATGGTATCTGTCTTTTATACTCTATGCTCAATTATATTCCATTTCATTATTTGTTTCCATTCGATAAAACAAAAATTGAAGTCCATAAATTCTATTGATCAGCTATTTTCAACCCGCTAAAATATTTTGATAGTGATACTTAGAGTTTATGAAATTTCTCATCGAATTCTATAAGCAGAAAAAGCTCAAATATTTTTAAAAGTGACATGAGAAAAACTTCTTATTATCTATTTATTTGTAGTTTGGCGAGGTTTTGTTCTAGAAATTGGTCAGATTTTTTTCTGACGACGGTAAAAATGTGATCTATTTTGAATTATCTGTTGTGTCCAATAGTTAAGACCTCTTTTCTAAAGTGTGGAGGACTTGCTATTTAAGGTTATAACATAGTAAATGAGCTTCATTTACTTGCTTACTATTTCACAATCACAATGAAATGAATTGTACTTCCTTCATAAGCAATATGAATAGTACTTACATTGAACTATGAAATTTTTCTTTGTCAAATTTGAAAGAAATCTTACTAAACAGTCAATTGATAAAATATTTTTCATGTCCATATTTACTCATAGGGGAAGTACGTCCAAAATGACATATCGTTTTATTAATCATCAATAAGTTTAATATTATTCATAATAGGAACATATTTTTTTCTTACAACTTTGCTTATATTAATTGGTTAACAGGAATCATATAGATTTTGTCAGAAAAATCAACACTTACAAAAATATTTAGTATTAAATGAAGATCAAGAAAAATCCGTTTTGTCCATACCGTATGGACAAAACGACACGAGTCGTATGGACTAAATGACATACACAGCCATCAACATAACAAAAATGATAAAATAAGATATAACAATAAAAATTAATTGCACAATTCGCAAACAAAATTTTTGGTACGCTTTGGCAAATCAGCACAGGCTGCGTGAACCCAACGACTGCACCGCCTGCACCTCAACCACCCCTCACCAGGCTTTGAACGTGAGTAGAGATCGTTGCAGTAAATACAGGCACAATCATCTTCTTCGTCTTCTTGATCAGAGCGCTCTTCATTTGAGTCATCATCAATGTAAAGAGACTTAGTAACTGCTTGTTTCCTTTTACGAGTTGGTTTTTCAGCTGCAATCTCTCGTTTGTACTTTAATTCTACCATATTTGGTGATGACGTAAGTAGGAATGTTGTCGTTCGTTTCTTTGGCTTTCGTTTACCCTGTCCACTTACAAATTTACCACTGGGAACTGGAGAAATGACATTAACTGGAACAGCTAAAGAACTTGTCGATGCAAATGAACTTGTGGATGGTTGGGAAATGTCTAACGGGCCAGTCAGTGTGTTATGAATATCATTAGTGACTGCTATTGCGTCTGAAGAATCCGATGAAGTAAATGGTTTACAAGAACTAGTGGATGGCTTTGATGAAGATTCAGGGGCCTTATTCTGTTCCTGGGCCATAATCTCGCCAGCCTCCGGTTCTATTGGCATCGATGGAAGGTTCTGATCCTGGATTGAGTCTGAGTTATCAGCTGTGGAAGCTATTGGNCACAAATGTCAACATGGCGTCCGTTCTGTATTTTAAACGGCTCTCAAAAGTCCAATGGTATATTTCCGGTGTAGGTGCTTCTTGATTGGCTAACTTTTGACAGTTTATACCGCGCAGTTTTTTAAATATCACTAATGTGTCGTTTTGTCCGTATATGTCATTTTGGATGTACTTCCCCTACTCAGATTCCTTGGAGACTCATTTTGTCGCATATCTTACAGATTCCATATAATCCTAAAAAGAAATTCTTCTCGAGAAATAGACAGACTTTGTGTTGATGACTGCGGTGCATACAAAGGATAGTAAGTATTTGATTTCGAATAACTAGTTTGAAGATCCAATTTTTTTTACTGAAAAAAGGTCGGTTGGGTAACAGGATCAATTTTTTCCTATAAAACAAATGTTTTATTGCAGGAATTTGATTGAATTCTTCTTCAGGGCTCGAAAATAAGTTTCTTCGTGTTAATGATATTACTATTTTGAAAACTATCAGACATATTAGATACACATTAAAAAATAAAAAACATTCCAACAACCAAATCTTCGTGTAAAATGCTAACTTTTTCATTAGTTATTGATAAAAACTTTTTTAATGAGACACCCTGTATATTCCTGCATATTTCAATAGAGCTTAAAATAACTTTTCCAAAAATGTATGATGTTTTGCTAGAGTCATCTTTGAAATACAGAGCTTTTAGGTTTTTTCGAGTAGACTTTGAAACGCACACTATCATCAAGTAGGCTTTGGACGACGCGGCGTTAAAACAGAACGGCCAACGGTTGGGTCCTTGAGTTGCTATCGAATTATTACCAAAATTTGCGGCCAAAAAATTGGTGACAATTGTAGTGTTGTGAGGCTAAGCCCCGTCTTATTGAAAATATGTTTTTCTGATCTCCAATAGTGGCAATTCAACAACAAGGGGTTCAATATTTTGCCTTTAAATTTCTAAATACCTCTGAGGTGTGAGAATGCCAGTATAAATGAACGGGCCGATAATTACACCTCTGAAAACACCTGCACACACACTAAATCCAAATTTTTCTTGTCTGCTCCACAATAGAATAAGGATTTTGTTGTGCCCAAGTATAAGAATTATAGCGTTTGAAAATGCCGGCACTGCTCACATAAGCTTTGTCTGTCCGAATACAATTCAACGCAGTTGGTTACAACTTTCCAGGAACCACTGACAAAAAGCCATTCGGCCTTCAAAATCTCCTGGTCTGAGTTGATGAACTCTTTGTTTGAAGATGATTGACAATGTTTCATGATGAATTCCATAAGTTCGGACTTCCAATAGCAAAGCAAAGCCGCATACATGTTATCCAACAATGTATTCAGTCAAGCTACCATAGAGATACACAGTATATGGAAACCCATAATCAACCGAAAAATGGCCAACTCCCGCCAAACGGTCATCTCCCACTAAACCAGTGAAGCAGAAAAAGGAAAGCAGAGATAAGTGAAAGTACTCAAATGACCCATTAAGCAGTCAGCTCATGGAGGAATCAGTCCATTACCGATCGCGAAAGAATAGCACCCAAAGGCTGACTTTCGACCAAAAGAGGTCAGATGTCAATCTTGCTGAAGTGCCCATCAGTAAGTTGAGGACCGCTCGGAGAGCGGGGGTGGATGGAGTGGGGTAGTAGGTTCTCCTCGCTAAATAGGGGGGGGGGGGAAGCTTCTACCTCAGGGCACTCAAGGGGCATGGGGGGGAATCAGTCCAGTCATCACCCGAAGACGATTGTGGATCCTAACAATCGAAACGTCGTGAAGTAACTTGGCTTGGAATTTCTTCACTTTATTTAAATTTTTGTTCAATCTGTTCCAATTTCACTTGTATTGTATTGTATGAACTCTTCTGTGTTTTTCAAAATCTTTTTAACGTTAGTTCTCGGTTGGCCTGTAGATATTTTTAAATTTCGCGTTGACATTTCGGGATCATTTTCAATAGTCCTTTAAAGGATTATTAGTTCTCGGTTGGCCTATAGATATTTTTAAATTTCGCGTTGACATTTCAGGATCATTTTCAATAGTCCTTTAAAGGATTATTAGTTCTTGGTTGGCCTGTAGGTATTTTCAAATTTCGCGTTGACATTTTGGGATTATTTTCAATAGCTCTTTGGAGGTTTATTAGTTCTCGGTGGGCCTGTAGATATTTTTAAATTTCGCGTTGACATTTTGGGATCATTTTCAATAGCTCCTTAAAGTATTATCAGTTCTCGGTTGGCCTGTAGATATTTTTAAATTTCGCGTTGACATTTTGGGATTATTTTCAAAAGCTCTTTAAAGGATTATTAGTTCTCGATTGGTAAAGGATTAGTAGTTTTTGGTTGGCCTGTAGATATTTTTAAATTTCGCGTTGACATTTTGGGATCATTTTCAATAGCTCTCAAAAGGATTATTTCTTCCAACTCCTCATCCCAATTCGATTCATATAATTTTGGTATTTTCTTTTCAAATTGACCATCATCAATCAGGTTATGAAGCAATGCGAAAATGTCTTTGAAAGGTTGTCTTTTCTCTGGATACCTCTCATTTTTGCCTGCTATTTTCCCCGTTTTGTATAAAACATATTATCATATCTCATTTTTCATAATTCTCATACTTCATTGCAAATGTGTTAGAAAATTGAAGAAAAATCGCTAATTGAGTCTACATCAAAAATCTTAAAACTCTGTATTCCAAAGATGACTCTAGCAAAACATGCTACATTTTTGAATAGTTAATTTTAAACTCTATATATAGGGTGCCTCTTTAAAAAAAATTGTTTCCCATCAATAACTATAGATATCTCATTTGCATTCTACATATAAAAGTGCTTTGGACATGTTCTCATAGAAACAAGAAATTTTTGATAGGAAAAAGTTACAGCAACTTTACGATAATGCACATTTTTGAAAAACATGCTGTAACTCAGAAACGATGATAGATATCGATATGCGGATTTAACTATTGAGTTCGTCGTAAAATTTGATTCTCATACATAGTCATCAGTTTTCATCTATCTAATTTGAAAACAGGAGTTTCCCTTTAAAAGTGTTCAATTTGGCCCACTCTGTACANGTTTTCATCTATCTAATTTGAAAACAGGAGTTTCCCTTTAAAAGTGTTCAATTTGGCCCACTCTGTACAGTGCGCAAGTAAGGTTGGTTCAAAATTCTCAGGAAGGACGATTTTTTATTGAAATTATGAATCGAAGTATTTAAAGATCATTTATGAATGTGACTTCTTCACCTGGAAAATAATTTATTCCAACCTTAAACGGTTACCTATTCTCACAAAATTGTATGGAGCTAGTCTGGCGTGGAACTACATACCACCCAGTTGGTTGGCAGCAATGGTGGTATATATACCTAAAGTGGGTTGAAGAGACCCACTCCCTAAATCGGTACGACCAATCAGCCTTACATTCTTCATGTGGGAAGGAACTGAGAGGGTACTGGACGGTTACATCAGGAAGGTAGCATTATATGCATCCCCTTGAATAATCACCAGTATGCTTATCAAAACAGCAAATCGACAGATTTAGCCTAAAACAACCTCGTTGAGAAAATCTCCCAATCCCTTGACAACAAGGAGATTGCGGTTGCTGTATTTCTTGATATTGAAGGAGCATTTGACAATGCACTACCTAAATCTATAGGATTGTCACTAGCTGGAAAGGGTAAAGAATCGACCATAACTGATTGAATCTATGCCATGCTAGTAAACAGAACTGCAACTACGACTCTTCAAGGCGAGGCCTTCCGGTTCAGGGTTACTAGGGGCTTCCCTCAAGATGGGGTAATATCTCCCCTTCTGTGGTCGCACCTGATGGATAATCTGCTTGATGCCCTTGACAGAAGAAAAGTTGATCTGCAATCTTATGCAGATGACCTTGTCATCCTGGCAAGGTCCACGTCGGGATGGGTAGCTTGAAACATCTTCCAAAGCACGTTGGACGTTGTACACAGTTGGTGTACAACGTGTACAACGTTGTACACTAACGTTGTACAACGTTGTACATCTGCCTGAGGAAGCAGATGTCTGTCAACCCCAGCAAAACTGTGTTAATAACCTTTACCAAGAGGAGAAAATTGGACAATCTAAAGCCAATTTCCCTCAATGGTGAGGTCATTCCATTTGGAACAGAGGTGAAATATCTTGGCATTGTCCTTGATAAAAGACACACCTGGAACGCTCACTTGGAAAAAGTTTCACACAAAGCCAGGCTGTCTCTATGAACATGTCAAAGGATTTGTGGTAAAACTTGGGTCTTAGGTCCCAAACAAATCCATTGTATTTATGTGATGATTGTCAGACCAATGATCACTCATCGTGCAGTTGCTTGGTGGCCGAAGGCTTTACAGAAAACGGCCCAAGTGAATCTCTCTAGCTTACAGAGACAGGCTTGTCTGGCTATCACTGGTGCCATCAGTACCACACCGTCAGCGGCCATGGAGATCCTTCTAGATCTACCTCCTCTCCACATTTTTCTGGAAAGNGCAATAAGAAAGGATTTCAAATATTCTAACTGCGGCACCAGCTGCGGGAAAGAAAAGGATGTCCATTACTGTTTCTTCATGCCCTTAAATTTCCACTGGGTGAATTTATATTTGGTATCAGCATTGCACCCGTGCGGAGCCAAGGCGGATCGCTAGTCACAAATATAAGCTATCACAAAATTGTCCTATTATTCATTATTTTTTCCTTCATTTCCTCGACAACAGCATAACTGCACTAAAATACACTTCTCAATCAAAAATTTATTCAGATTGACCTCTAATAATGAATTATTGTACGTAATTTTAAAAGTTATGAGAATCGCCGGTAATATTTTATATTGTTTTGTTTCGTACTGTTCATACTAAACACAATCACTTGTTTCAGTTGAGGCAAATTCAAAATATTCAAAGATCTGATTCGGATGGAAGCGACGAATTTGGAAAACACCGTTCTTCGACCGATATAAGAATCGACCATAACTGATTGAATCTATGCCATGCTAGTAAACAGAACTGCAACTACGACTCTTCAAGGCGAGGCCTTCCGGTTCAGGGTTACTAGGGGCTTCCCTCAAGATGGGGTAATATCTCCCCTTCTGTGGTCGCACCTGATGGATAATCTGCTTGATGCCCTTGACAGAAGAAAAGTTGATCTGCAATCTTATGCAGATGACCTTGTCATCCTGGCAAGGTCCATGTCGGGAAGGGTAGCTTGAAACATCCTCCAAAGCACGTTGGACGTTGTACACAGTTGGTGCCTGAGGTAGCAGATGTCTGTCAACCCCAGCAAAACTGTGTTAATTCTCTTCACCAAGAGGAGAAAATTGGACGATCTAACGCCAATTTCCCTCAATGGTGAGGTAATTCCATTGGAACATCCTCCAAAGCACGTTGGACGTTGTTCACAGTTGGTGCCTGAGGGAGCAAATGTCTGTCAACCCCAGCAAAACTGTGTTAATTCCCTTTACCAAGAGGAGAAAATTGGACGATCTAAAGTCAATTTTCCTCAATGGTAAGGTCATTCCATTTGGAACAGAGGTGAAATATCTTGGCATTGTCCTTGATAAAAGACACACCTGGAACGCTCACTTGGAAAAAGTTTCACACAAAGCCAGGCTGTCTCTACGGACATGTCAAAGGATTTGTGGTGAAACTTGGGTCTTAGGTCCCAAACAAATCCATTGTATTTATGTGATGATTGTCAGACCAATGATCACTCATCGTGCAGTTGCTTGGTGGTCGAAGGCTTTACAGAAAACGGCCCAAGTGAGTCTCTCTAGCTTACAGAGACAGGCTTGTCTGGCTATCACTGGTGCCATCAGTACCACTCCGTCAGCGGCCATGGAGATCCTTCTAGATCTACCTCCTCTCCACATTTTTCTGGAGAGAGAGGCTAGATGGACTGCATACAGACTTGTGCACATTATCAAAATTGCACAAATCAATTAAATGCAGAGTGCAACAGGCTGTTGGTTAACACTGGAAGTCACATCATTCTGGAAATGGCCTCTAACTTTATGCCTCCAACTGTCAACTACGAACTGCCTTATAAAGTACTATTACCGAGTAGAGAGGACTGGATCCTCCGGGAGAAGGAAATATTAAGAGCAGATAGTTGTTGGTTCACAGATGGATCAAAAAAACCTTCCGGTTCTGGTACAGGTGTTTTTAGTCGCAAACCCAGGATAGAGATATCTATCTACCTAGGAACTTATGCTACTGTATTTCAAGTGGAACGAGCAACGTCTAAATTGGTAGCAAATTAACAAAATCGACTCTCCTCGATAGGAAGACTAAACAGATTGTTTCTGGTCTGGATTCCTGGCCATTCTGGCCTGGAAGGTAATGAAGCAGCTGGCTCTCTTACAAAGGAGGGTGCTGCAAGCGTCTTCATCGGACCCGAACCTGTCATTGGCATCGCTTTGGGCTTTGCCAAACAAACATTGAACACCTGGATGGCAAGAAGATTTATGGACTTCTGGCAGAATCTTCCAGGATTGGCTCACTCCAAGGCGTTTATTTACCCTTCGAAGCTTGATACCAAACACTTGTTGGACTACAGTAGGCATGAACTACGATGTCTAACAGGCCTTCTTACTGGTCAATGTCATTTGAATCATCATATGCAGAGACTTGGACTGTCGAATGACAGTGTATGTTGCCTCTTTCTGGAAAATAATGAAACAGCAGAGCATATACTTTATGCCTGCCTCGCTGGGGAATGAATCAGGTTTTCAGAGTTCGGCAGAGCCGTACTCTTACCATCTGACCTGAAAGACCACTCACCATACAAACTAATCGGCTTCGTTGAGAAGCTGAATTTATTTAGCCGAGTGTGAAAAAGTGTGAGCCATAACAAACCCTTGCGGGTTGCGGTGGAGGGTCGAATAGACCCACTCACTTCAGACCTAACCTAACCTAACCTTATAACGGTGAGTGCGCCTGTCAAAATGTTCGATACTTATTCAATTTATTTTCACAGCAGACCGTTTTTCAACAGATGCATACAAAATAAAAGCAGTACGGTAACAAAATAATGATTGAATACAGTAGATACCTCTTTAGGATCTTGATAAAATAATGTTTTTATGTTTTTTATGTTTATTAGATAATTCATATACTGTCTCCCATGTAGTTTTACAAGTGTCATGGGAATTGAATATTTTATTTTGAAAATATGATTTTTTCGTACTTTTTGCTAGCAAAAGATGTTTTTTCTTCTGTTTTTTTATATTAATTTTCTAGATATGGGTAACTACGTTTTAAAGTAAACAAATCCTAAAGTTCATTGCTTGATCTTTTTATTTCATCGGTAACCCATTTCTTTTTCATTTTGTGTTTGTTTAAAGTATTGTCTGAGAGGAAAATACACATAAAAATAATGCATGAAAATCTTATGAAACACCATTTATGTTGATTTTTTTATATACTTTCAACTTGTTCTAGTGCTGAAAAAAACAGTGTCATATACTGTTCATTAAAACTTCTACAGTGAGTATTTTTTGTTGCCGGTATCATTGTTTGAACTAAAATCGACCTGTGTTCCGAAAACTCGATGTCAGGCACACAAACAAGAGGGTCAGAGAGTCAGAGATATTTGAGAATAAATGGTCTATTGTTTCAAGCAACACTGGACAGTTTACAAAACCGCAACACGTGTTTCTCTATACAATAGCTTCCTCGGCGAAACACGTGTTGCGGTTTTGTTAACTATTGAACACTCCGTAATTATGATATTACCATGATGGATATATTTTCAATCCAGTATTACGCAACACTGCAGATGCTTTTTCGATTTTTTATTGAGAATGACTCATTGTGTGATACACTACATCACCCCCTTTTTCTCAAATAATCTATTTCGAAGTGATTTTTTTTTAGGCCAACTAATATAGGTAAACATGAATCAGAATAAAATTTGAATAAAGAAGTATTCTCTCTCTCTCTCCTGTCCATAGTGAATCCGGGACCAAGAGCGCAGCTATCTTGCTCGAGGGAATGCTTCATTTTTTATTGGTCGCATCCTTTTCAGAAGACCTTTGTATAAAACTAAACACAAATACACATGTTCATAAATTTTAAAGAACTGATGACTTCGTCGAATCCGTCGACATCCAGCCTCATTAATGGTGTAGGTGACCGCCAGTCCTCTCATCTGTCACTTCAATATTCATTCTACCATAACTTCATTTTAGAGTACATTAATTTTTAGCTCACACCTTTTGGACCACGAAATCCACGTGCCATCTTCGAGGGCGGTTGTTATAAGCACAGTTGTCTTCTGTCGCGATCGGAGAGAAAGAACTAAAGAAATATCTTCAACTTCTTTCAAGGGTGAAGTGATCCTTATATACTTTTTCTCGGTTACGCCATTAGTAACTTCTACATCTCCCCTTCTTTTTTCAGTTATTGTATGAGGTATAGAATTGCAATTTGGAGTCAACTTGTTTTCTTTAACTGATTTTTCAGTATCCCCACAATCTAATTTGCTTTCTTTTGCTCTTCTTTTTTCAATCCCCATATTTCTCACCTTTAAGTTTCTTGCTTTTATTTCTGTCTATTATTCCTTGGTCAATTTTGTGATCAGTATTCGGGTAATGTACATGTTTCTAATAGCTCATTGGAATTTTCTTCTGAATATTAGGCAATGAATAACATGAAACTTGCTTCATTTATTGAATAGAATATAATTTACGGTATTGAAGTTGGTCTGTATTTCATATTTTCAATGTATTTCTTCAAAGATCGATTTTTTTATTGATTATAGGAAGTATCCGAAGATCTTCACTTGTGTTGGAGAGATATGTGTTACTTGTTTCTTCTATCTCTAGGTATAACTTCCTATTAAAAAGTAGATTGGAATTACAACAAGCCTTTTCAGGTCTTTCCGGCTTATTGCTGATACTATTCAGATATCTAGTGGGCCTAGTCGTGTGGATAGTTTTGTTTGGAGTGATACTAGTTTGTTCAGCAGGATCTATATTACTTTGGTGAGTCATCGATTTAATTTCGGAAATTTGTAAATATCTAGCCAAATGAATATTTTTCAGGATAATGTGGAAAAATTCCAAAGAAACCTTTGCCAATTCTTCTCCAGAACTAGTGCCAGATGTGGATTCCAGAAAAACAAGCGCCTACTTCGTGTTTGCAATAATTGCTACAATAGTTACTTTAGTAATATGTCTCATAATATTTGTCATGAGGAATCGAATTAGACTGGTGGTACAGTTATTTGAGGAATCTGGAAAAGCTATCGCAGCTATGCCACTTTTATTGCTGGAACCTATTCTAGTAAGAATTTATATTTCATGAAATGTGGAATTTGAGTGTTTGTTATGTACAGGGTGTTTCCTAATTACAATAGGAGAGTGCTTCGTTAGATCGTTTTAAGAAAAAAATCCTATGAACATATGTCCGGAGTTGCTTCGTTTCTGAGATACAGGGTGTTGAAGTTTTAAAAACCGGTATTTATAAAATATTATGAATATCCTTACACCAATTTATTTGACATTTGCTATAGTTATTTGAAGTAATAAGGCACTTATTTAGGCCCCAACTAGATTGAGATTATTGGGTCCAGTGGCACCACAGCCAACAATATTGAAACAAAAAGGACGCCACTGACTTTTTTGTAGTTTTTCGTTTCTTTAGATTGAGCAATTGGAAACACAACTTTTTTATCGCTTGTTTTCTTTATATCAAGCTTCGGTTTCGAGAAAAAAAATTGAAGCCACTTTACATATCACGAACACCTACTTTAGAGTCCAGCTGACAGTGATAGTGTTGTCATAATAGTAAAAGTCAGAGTTGTCAATTAGCAGTGATCCCATAATGAATAATTTTACTAACGCTCAAATGGCTGACATGCACTTTATTTATGGATAAGCAAATGGAAATGCGGAAGAAGCACGAAGAATTCACTAGGACATTTAACAGAGTAATTCGATGTACTAAAACATTTAGAACGCTTCATGCAAGATTATGTGAAACTGGGAGTTTTAATGAAAGTGCAGGTGATGGAAGACCAGAAACTGTAACAACGCCTGAACTAGAAGTTATACTTGATGTGATAGAAGAAGATCTTTCAAATAGTATTAGGAAGATTGCACTGAAGCTAGAAGTCAGGCCAAAAACCGTATAGACAGTTCTAGAAAAAAACCTCTTATACCATTATCACATACAGCGGGTCCAAGTTCTACTGCCTCGGGATCTTCACCAAAGATTGATTGTTTTGCAAGTGGTTGATTCTTTCGATGGCACACAATAATAATTTTTTACCAAATATTTCATTCACGGACGAAGCAAATTTTTCATGATATGCTATTATGAACTTTCACAATGATCATTTTTGGGTTGAAGAAAATCCCCACGTTAAAAAAAATCTTTTTTTCCGTTTACCAGCTGTCGCACCCCTACGAACGATAACCCTCAGAAGTCGAAACTTGTGCGAGCTAAGGATTAACGAGGTATTACCTTTTAACGTGTGATTTCTAACACGGGTTGGACGATAGCAAGTGAAAATTGATCTTTCAGACTAGGGCTTGAACCACCGACCAACACAGCACTCAATTCGAGTGAGTGAACAAAGCATCCACGTCGAACCGCCTGGCTACCGACCGACGTTATTGAAGAAAGCCATTTTCAGCAACAATTTTTGCTGAACGTTTGGGTAGGAATGATTGGTGACTACCTAATTGGCCCGCCCCTTTTTTATACCAGCAAGATCAATATCTGAATCCTACACGGATTTCTTGCGAGATCATTCATCCATTTTGTTAAGCGTTCTTGCTCGACAGCATCTCGACATCTCTGGACTGGACGTGCATGACCTCAAAATTGGCCAGGTCTAGTCCTGATATGAATCCTCTAGATTTCTACTTATGGGGTCATCTGAAGGCTCTTGTTTATAAAACTCCTGCACTAGATATAAATGACTTGAGGAATCGAATAATTGACAATTGCAATGTCATTAGGAATATTCCGGGTACTTTTGAACGTGTCAGACAATTGATGATCAGTCGATTGCAGTCGTGTATTTTATCAGAAGATTGAGATTTCGCAAATTTACTTCAAGGCCGAAATTGTTTATGATTTGCTTTTTATTTTATGTTACCATGGATAGCTTTTAGAAGTGATGTTCTCCTAGAAAACGAAACTTGATATGAAGAAAACACAAGCGACTGAAAAAAGTTGTACAAAGTTGCTCCATCTAAAAAAAGTACTAGGAGGAAGGGAAAAGGATTGGTGAAGGAAAAGAGGAGATCAGCAGGATGATACTTCAATATTGAGCTCCAAGACATCCGCAAGGTAAAGAGCCGCCTCATAGACCCACGACAGGCCGATGGGAGGCGCCCCCGCTGGTGTTACCGGATGGCTCTCTGCCCAACAGAGCCTCATTTCAACACTCAGTCTAAGACTTCCCGTTTCCTGCCGAGGCTTATGCAAGATTTCTCGTGAAATTGCGATTTCGGTACCTCATATCTGAATATAGTAGATGTGTGTTGCAAGTTCATCACTAGCCCCCTGGAAAAAGTTCATGAAAAAACCAGGTAAGAGTAATTCTGATGTATGTCACGAAAATATGTGAATTATATTAGCCAGCTTTTCCATGAACCAAGCGCGATCGCATTCGCGCCGTAAAAGGAAGATATCTAGCATTTCATAAATCAGCCCATGTTTAAGGGGCTAATCATGATAACTCCTAAGCGCCGTGATGTCCCTCGTCAGCGGGCTTTTCGGCAGAAAGAACTTGAAGAATTTATATGACAGCCTTCTGATGTGTTCAGTAATGGTTTCGACTCCTGCCAAATCTGAAAGATCGTTCAATGAAATGTATCTGTCACTGTTCGTGCAGATCTGGAGCACCTTATTCTGCATCATCTCGAGTCTCCGCAGAGAAGTCCTCTTGAGGCTGCAGAATACGGGACAAGCGTACAACATAGCTGATCTGATTACTTGTTTGTAAATTAGCAGCTTGTTGTCAACACTAAGCTTCGAGTTCCGTGCAATGAGCGTGTTCGTGCGTTTAAACGCAGTACCCGCTCGTTAGATCGCCATGAAAAGACCAATGACTTCTATTTAGCCATACATTTTATATTTCTCCTTGAAAAATTTGATGGTGAGTCCATACATTTCTTTTTGTTGGATCCAATATGAATGCAATATCCTTCATTCTGTCTATTGCTATAATGTCAATTCTTCTAATGTTACCATGGGAAGCTAAGCAGTTGACTTCTTCATAAAACTAGAATTTTTCAGATTTTGTGGTGGCTATGAGGTGACGAATGGTGTGATTTTTGTATTTCTCAGAAGTTGACCAAATGGACAAGATCCCAAGACGTGAGGAAGGGTATCAGACTCTGTACAATGTCTGTACTGGGTTCCGTCTTGGGATATACCTGGTATTCCTTTTAGGTTCACTACACATCCTGTCATTTCAATAGCATCTTGCCACTCTGGAGTGGCCCTCTGGAGTCTTCAGCCAAAAATTTGCTTTTTTTTGGCAAAACACAAGCACTACATGAAAATCATTAAAGCGCTCTTCGAGCGGTGCCTCTGCGAAAGTTGCGATTCACATTGGATTTGAATCCCTAGAGATTACATCCATTTGGAAAAACGTTCTTAGGAAGTTCATTCCACTCGAGAGCAGTTATCAAAATGAAAGGGTTCTTAAACAATCATGTGTGAGGTGTACTTAGTTGAACCTCAAAAGAACGATGAGCAGCCACAGTCCGTCGCGTATTTCTGATATGTACAGCTCTTGGTGGAATCAAATGTGCCAGGTCACTTGAACACCTCCCGTGAAAGTATATATAGAAGAGAGACAAATCTCCAACCTTTCTTTGATGTTCCAATCTATCAAGGTCTCCAAATAAGGCGGATGGCTCTTTTCTGGATGAAACCCAAAAACTTCAGGGTATGTTTGGTGGCAGAGCTTCATACATGAGCACAATACTCCAATACTGATCTGAGCTTGATCTGAGCATCAAAAGTTGCTGAGGTGTGTACATTTTTCTGGTTCGGAACATTGTTCCAAGCTTTTGAGATGCGGATTTTGCAATTCCAGTGACATGATTGTGCCAAGAAACGTTCATCTTTTTGGAGAAATCCGATGCCTGAGTTTTTGCGGCATTGAATTGAACTTAGTTACCTGCACCTCAATTCGAAATCACTTTCAAATCCTCAATAAGATATGCAACCTCCTGCTACCGGTAAAGATGTGCATCCACAGCCGATGTCCTGGAATCCAAATGGAATGACAAGACAAGTGTGCTGTCGTCAGCAAAGATTGCTTTGGATTCGTGGTTTCTTCCACTGAGTCGTTGATATACAATAAAAAGAGGGGTTAAACTTCAGGGTATGTTTGGTGGCAGAGCTTCATACATGAGCACAATACTCCAATACTGATCTGAGCTTGATCTGAGCATCAAAAGTTGCTGAGGTGTGTACAGTTTTCTGGTTCGGAACATTGTTCCAAGCTTTTGAGATGCGGATTTTGCAATTCCAGCGACATGATTGTGCCAAGAAACGTTCATCTTTTTGAAGAAATCCGATGCCTGAGTTTTGGCGACATTGAATTGAACTCAGTTACCTGCACCCCAATTCGAAATCACTTTCAGATTCTCAATAAGATATGCAACCTCCTGCTACCGGTAAAGATGTGCATCCACAGCCGATGTCCTGGAATCCAAATGGAATGACAAGACAAGTGTGCTGTCGTCAGCAAAGATTGCTTTGGATTCGTGGTTTCTTCCACTGAGTCGTTGATATACAATAAAAAGAGGGGTTGGAGACAATATAGATCCCTGGGAAACACCAGCGTTGATAGTGAAAGTATTTGAGAGATATCCATGGACGGCCACTTGCAAGAAACGTTCTTTCAGAAAGCTGGAGAGCCATACACAAAAATGATCCAACAAGCCATAGCATCGAAGTTTGGCCAGCAAATCCTCATGCCACACACGGTCAAAAGCCTTACAAAAAGCAAGCGCAACAGCTCTCGATTCTCCATGTTTCTCGATTGCGTTATTCCAAATATGGGTGTCATACGATAGAAGGTGACCTGTTGATCTTTGTTTCCGAAAGCCATATTGATGATCGCTCAAGATGTTGGAGGATATGGTGGTTTACGACTTTCTCTATGATTTTTTACTCCATCAAATCCATACAAAAATTATGCATTACTTCCAAAGGAAAAACAAAAGTAATTAATTTCAAAATGAACTCTATACAAATATGTGTTGATCATGCATAAAAGTTACTCTCAGATACAAACTGAAGTAGCCTTTCTTTCCCAAAAACTAATCTCTCCTGAAAATCTAACCTTTTCAATTTAGGTATTTGAACCATTTCAGTGAGATTTTCCAAAAAGAAATATTTTTGCAGACATTTTCATGTTTGGCAGCAGTAATTTTTTTATGGGTCTACTTCTCGGTGTGGATTGAAAGTTCTGGAATATTGAGTCAAAAAAGACCTGGTGTCTACTACTACGAAAAAAATGACTGGATGAAACTTACCCGGTGGTACAATTTTTTTGCGATGCTTTGGATGGCTCAGTTCATGATAGGATGTCAACATATGATTATAGCAGGAGCAGTTAGCGTTTGGTATTTCAAAAGGTAAAGAACGCATTCCATTATAAAACATTGTCTTTTATATAATTCAATAATAACAAGAACTTTATTAAAGATTGAAAAAAAATATATGAAATTATGATGTAATAATATAAGTTCATTCCTGACATTTTACAATATATACATCGGAAATAATAAAAAACTTCTAAATAAACTGATAATAACCTTAAGAAGTGAAACTTGTGCAAGGGTAAGTCATAAAAAAAGATACAATCTCACATATATTCATATACAAAGTATATGAACATATGTGAAAAAAAATAACAAATGAATACATGAATTTAAAATGTGTGCTCAATAACAATATATGAATTAATTCAAATTATTCAAAACTGTAGTTGATGAAATGTATATCATGATTTATTGAATTGAAATCCACAACATATGGAAACCTCTAATCAAGCGGAATACGACCAACTCCCGCCAAACGGTCATCTTCCGCTAAAACCAATGAAGTGGGGAGAGGGAAGAGGGGGTAGGAGAAAGCACTCAAATGACCTATAAATAGTCAGATCTTGGACCAGTTATCACCCGAAGTTGATTGTGAATACTAATAATCGAAACGTCGTGAAGTAACTTGGTTTGGGATTTTTTAATTTTTAATTTTCATTTCTTCTTGATAATTTTTCAATTTTCACCTCATGTTAATAGTTTAATTTTTTTTGAGTTTTTGGTTGTTTCTTGTATTTTTATTTCATTGTAATTTTAGTTTTTTTGCTT